GGGAAGGAACGGGTCATTGGGGAGAAAAAGGGACATCTGTAATACTTTAAACAAAAATAAAAATTATACATATTAAAAAAAAAAAAAGACTATAGCGAATATTCAGGATTGAAAGTCCAGTATAGTGTTATCCTCCACACTGTCATTTATCTTTCAAAGTAAAACTGTTAAGACTTTAGATTAGTCTTGAGCTGTATGAGTATTTTGAAAATAAAATGTATTAAAAAAAAAAAAAAGAATCCCAAGGAACAGGCGTAGGAGACAGGCAAGAGTAAAACCGAGAAGGAGTGAGAGCCAATTTAAGAGCGCATTGGCAAACTGATCAGCACGGTGGGCAACTCGGGCTTGATCCACGAGGCCTTGTGAGGAACCATACAGAATGCACTACAGGATTATCTGCACAAGGGATAGAAGAGAGGAATAGTCTCCAGCTCCTGTGCTTCTCTGATCAAAGGTCATCCGTGGTTGTTAATTCGTCTGCACTTTTTGATTTTCATAGATGTCACAATGGTGTCCCGGGCTGTGGAGGTAGAGAAGCAAAGAGATCCATAGTACAGCTGAGACAGAGTGCTGTCGGATTATATCTGTAAGCAGCTGGTGGCTTCAACAACGGCTGGAGTGAAAAGACAAGCCAAACGGTGGCAGCAATAATTATAATGATAATCATTGTAAATGGGTTCAACTCATTAGGTTTAAGAAATGCAGTACTGCCCTGGCCAGGTAGATCTGTTGGTTAGAGCGTTGTCCCGATACACCAAGGTTGCAGGTTTGATCCCCGGTCAGGGAATGTACAAGAACCAACCAATGGATGCACAAATAAGTGGAACACCAAATCAACGTTTTGCTTTTTCTCGCCCTTCCTCCCTCTCTCTAAAAATCAATTTAAAATTTTAAAAATAAGAAATGCAGTACTATGTTATTTAAGCTTCAAAGGATGCATATATATAAAAACACTGATATACTGTGCTTCCCAAGACTTGACACACAATCAATAAAATTAGAACAGCAAAACAAGGCTCTTGGAGAATGTCTTCCTTTCCCCTCTGCCCCATTCTTCTTTTTTTTTTTTTTGTTATACCAAACCACATTATCTGAACAAGTCCCTATGTTGAAAACAGCTACAAATAATGGATAAATAATTTTTTAAAATCTTAAAATTAATGAAGAGCTGACAAAATGTAAGAAATTACCAGGTGAGGCCTGAGGGGGACAGAGGAACCTAGAGACATAAGCCAATACAGTCTTCTTTTGGCCTCACAGTGTTTACCAATTCCAGTAAATTTGAACTCTCATTTTGATAACTTCAGTTGAGTGAGGATATCAGAAAAAAACAACAAAAAAACCACACACACCCAGGGTCACACCAGGTGAGGAATCTTATACTAGATACTAAATACTTCCCACAATAAGCTGGGATCTCAAAGAGTTACACTCTGAAATTAAAGGTTAACTGGAAAAAAACCAGCACTTTGGTATTACACTATACATTTCCATCACTGAGGCAGACCTGGGGACTTATGTCTTGAACTTGGATTAAGTTGGCCCTGTTATGGTAATATAATTAAGGTAATGTATTAAGGCATCTGGAAGAAGCTAATTCAAAACTTCTCTGGGAAAAGGTAACTTTATCCTAGATCTCAGAATATCCCTGTAATAATTTTTTAAGTACAATGGCTACAAGGCAGCCAAAGATAACCGAGTTAATAAACAAAACATTGCAAGAGCTGGGAAAGGCAAAAGACAGAAGAAGAAAAAACAGACAAGACAATTTGCAAACCTTTGGATACCAGAATTATCAGACATAAACTATAAAACAACCATGCTTAAGTAAATAAAACACAAATTTTGGGGGGGAAAACTCTGCAAGGAAGAAGAACCTATAAACACTGACAGATCATATTCAAAAGAAAGCAAATAAAAC